TATCTTTTATCTTACCCTAATACTGATATCCATTAGTTTACCATTATTCTTTTCCGATATGCATATCGGGTAAATAATGGGTCAATAAAGATATATTCTGTTATTTAACCTTTATTCATATATTCGACCTGTGTTGTATAGCTCAAAGATCCTTTCAGTTACTCAAAATGCTTCAGGTTCTTTTCAAAAGCCAACTTCTAGTATTAAAAAGTTTAAGATATTCTCACTTCAACTTCTTATACAAAGAAGTTCACCAAGTCAATAGCACTATTTTAAAGATTGATAAATGGTCTTATCTTCATTCTCGAAGCGTTTAATCTTCTTGCAAATAGATCACACCTTATCTTCCCAGATATGGCCAAAAACTTCTACTATGTCTTGTAGACCAACACTTGTAATAGGTTTTTAAAAATTCTTAATATATAGAGGCGATTTTTGTTAAATCTTCTGAGTATCAGTAAGCTTTAAAGGGGCTTGTATTATTTGAGTTTTGTCTTGATAAATAATTTCTTTAGAAGTGATTATCATAATTGAGGTTGAATCCAATTTTTGTAATTCATATTGAAGTTGTTTAGCCATTAGTTTGGTTATTCCAAAGAGTTAGGTTATTTTTTTCTTGGTTTCTTCTTCTTCTAGATCTTCTTGATTTGAGTTCTTTTTTTTGCTTTTTTGGTTTTGAGTTTGTGTTTTTTTAATTTTTGTTTGTAGTAAAGCAAGACAGAGATGAGCTCTTTTTATAAAGATCTTCTTGTTATTTTTATTATAATCTCTTCCTTTTTCTAAAAATTTCTAAAAGTTTCTGTAAATTTCTTTAATTTTCTTGTAAACAATGAAAATTTTTCTTATTCTTCTTTAAGTTTCTATATTGTTCTAATAAGTTTGTTTTGCTCCATTATTTTTTTAGCTTTCGTCATGTGTTATAATTGTTCTAGCGATTTCTGTTATCCAAATTTGTATATCTCATCAAAATATACCAAAAATATACCAAAAATGATACAAAATTACCAAATATAATACTACATACTTCAACCTTATTTTGACTAATTGTTCCCAGTATAATGTCTAAAAAAATAAACAAAAATAGAAATAATCTATAAATAAAATAAACAAATAAGCAAAATAATAAAGAAAAGTATTATATGCTCCATCACCCACATATAATTGTCACAATCCTTTATTATAACATTGTGCCTGACGAAAGTAATAAACAAAATACAAAATAATATAAAGATTTGTAACTAAATTAAGCATATTGTTAAAGAAGTTTTTTTTTTTTTCTATTAAAATTTTCATTATATATATATACTAGTATATAACCCGTCACGTTGCTCTGAAAATTTATTAAATTAATTCATAATTCATCTAAGAACCAGTGACAAAAAATTTTGCCTTTTTTGAAATCTGGAGTTTCCCAAAGAAAAACTTTTTTACTAAGTAAACATCTTTTCAAGCTTTAAGTAAAGTTGTAGAGACGTGTTTTGCAATCAAAATGGCGGTTAAAACGTTAAAATCGGCCCAGTAGATCGCGAGATATAAGTACTTTAGTCTTTGCAACTATATGTTTTTTTTCTTTATTTACAAAGAAAAATATATAGTCACAAAAACTAAAGTACTTATATCTCGCGATCCACTAGGCTGATTTTAACGTTTTAACCGCCATTTTGATCGCAAGACACTCCTCTACAACTTTACTTAAATTTTGAAAAGACGTTTATTTAGTAAAGGAAAAAGTTTTTCTTTGGAAAACTCCAGATTCCAAAGATAATAACAAATTACACAACTGTGTAATTTTTATTATTCGGACTAATCTGGAAGGGTATTTAAATTATTTATACAGGGTAAACTAAATGTGAAACTTAAGATTTTAATATATTAGATATATATATATTTTTTTATAAAATATCTCGTACTCGTATCTTTCATGCTATTCATTATGCTTGTCATAATGAAAATGAGGCCCTCTATAAAGCTCTTGGTGAGGTGTAGGACTAGAATAGAAGATACCATATAAGCACGAAATAACAGGCATAGGTATTATTTTGAAATCCGGGCACCCCCAAAATAGCATATAGTGTCTCGAATTAGTGTCCATGCGCATCCCAAATTAACGCGCACCCAATATAACTTGGTGCGACAATTTAATTACATAGTGTGAAATGAACCTAGTATGAATATCTAATACTGTTATATAAAACTTTATAGGGCTACTGGTAAGTTGCTATGTGACAAGTCTTTAGGTCTCACTATTGTAATTTTTTCTGTGTCTCCTCACTTCATATTTGTTTAATTCTTTAAGTCGTCACTCACCTTCCATAATTGTACCATCATAGTCATATTAATCTTACCATAGTAGTATTAGGCATTGTTATGTATTCATGCCAGAGCGTTTACGCTCATACGCGCTTGCATAAACTTGTGATCATTGGGCCTTGAGCAAATATGAAATCTATAGCGTAAGCGTTGAAATCCTGATGTTGGCCATCTGTAAAATTAGAATGTATATAAGAGTGTGTTTTCATTCTTAGTTGAGGATAACATTCACTCTCCAAAATTCCTCAATAAATAAATGTTACATATGTTTATATTCTTTTTTATAATAAATCATGAATATCCGAATAACATAATTTATCGCCCAATTTATGTGACCCTTCTAACGTCAACTATCGGAGTTAAACTCGGCATGACAATAGCAAGCTCTTTCTTATAATGGTTTTACTATACAAGATGCATAAGCGTTATTTTAAAAGTATTTGGCTCTGAAAATCAGATCTTACTTATTTCGAAATAATGCACATACACGTACTCAAAATAACGCACAGGTCTATCAATTAATGCGCAGGGGAGTGTTATTTCGTGCTTATATGGTAGATATTTGTAAATTTTTATAAAAGCCTCAAATAAGATATTAATTTGTAATTTATATTAGGTTGTGGCATGAAGTTAGATCCTTAAGAAAAAAAGTTGCATTATTGGAAACAGAGTTGGAAAAGATTCAGTTTTGGGACACAGAGTCAGTAGAAGAAGAAAATTGGAGAAGAGATGAGAAGCATTGGCAAGTTGTTTAGGAGAGAAATTGGTTGTATGTTCAGATTACTAAGTTGAAAAGTCATATAGATTCAGTAGTAGTAAATTTGAATGAGGAGTTTGATTTTTAAGTTTTTTTTTTTGTTTTTTATATTGTTGTTTTCTTCTTTTTTTCTTTTTTTTTGTATATATATATATATATATATCTTAGTGTTTTTAAAATTTTAATAAAAATAAAAATAAAAATAAAAAAAAAGCAACCATTTAAATATTTCAACTAAGGGCCATACTGAACTCGGTATTTAGCAAGCAGCTCTCTTAGTTGGTCTCGAACCTGGGTCTGTATAATGACAGCTCTCCGCCATAACCATTTATTTATATTTAGATGATATTAAAAAATTTTATAGCTACTCCTTAATTTAAGTAATGATCTCTCTAATTATAATGCTTGTTTTTATATAGAGCCTATTTATAGAAGATCATTGATGATCTAGCTATATCTAATTTTCTATAATAACTTGTAATATCGGTAGTAGTTTTTGGTAATAAAGTTTTAATCAGTTACTGTTTATAGGTTCCTTAAGTATTTTTTAGTCTAATGTTTATAACTTGTATACTCTATTGCTTAAAACTTTATGAATATAGTAAGGTCCTTTCTATGGGTCTATTAGCTTTTTTCTTTCTTTTAACTCACTTTGATATAACAAGACAAAATCTCCAAGCTTATATTTAATTATCTCTTTTAAATTTTGATCATGCCTTTTCTTTTGGTACTTCTGAAATTTTTTAATATTTTTTTAAGCTTGTATATGATCTTCTTGTAACTTTTCTATTAATTGATATATTCTCCACAATAGAGTTTCCTGCTCATTTTCTCCTTTCTCTTGAAATGCATGAGTTTCAACTTGAAATTCTACTAGTAAGGTGATTTCTTGTCCATAAGTTAAATAGAAAGATTCATGCCAAGTTGTATTATATTTTATAGTCTAATAAGCAAATAGCGCTGAAGGTATATACAAATCCCAATTATCTTTGTTTTTATTTGAAAACTTTGCCAAGGTCTTATATAAGGTTCTATTAAAATATTCAACAAGCCCATTTGTTTGTAGATGATAAGCAGAGAATAATTTATACTTAACTCCAATTCCTTTGCATAAAGCATCTATTATCTCATTAACAAAATGAGTTCTTCTATTAGTAAGTAGAACTTTTGAACACCCATGCTGACAGATTATATCTTTATAAAAAAATGTAGCAACAGAGTTAGCTTTTGCATTAGATAAAGCTCGAGCTTCAGGTCATTTTGTTAAGTAATCTGTTGCAACTACTACTATGTATTTATTTCTTTTATTAGTTATAGGTAGCAGTCCAACAATATCCATCCCAGTATAATCAAAAGGCTGTCCAACTTTAATTGGATGCAAGGGCTCTGTTCGAATAGGTTTGCCTCTTCATTAATATTTATCACAGATTTGTATATACTTTTTAATATTATCATGCATCTGTGGCCAGTAGTAACGTATTGCTGTTTTTTGATAGGTTTCATTAATCCCAAAATATCTAGCAAGAGGATCTGAGTACAAGTTATAAAGAATAATATTAATTTTATTTTGCTTCACAATTTTGAGAGGTCTTGTAGGTTCTCTTTTGTTCTTCTTATATAATTGTCCTTCTATAACAATAAAATATCTTGATTTATTTTTAAGAGCTTTAATCTTTTTTTGTTCTAAATTTTTGGGCCAAGTGTGGTCTGTTAAATACTGTACAAGGGGATAATATATATTTAAATTCATAAGTGTCCATCAAAATCAAAAGCCAAAATTCAAAAATGAAGTCCAAATATAATATTGCCAAGTTACAAAATTTACTTTTCTCTCTTTGTTGTTGTACTAAACTTGTATTTGACTAAGAGTATTTGCATTGGTGTGTGCTTTTTCAGGTCAGTTTATAATTGTAAAATCATAGCCATTAAGAGTCATAAGCCATCGTTCAAGTTTTCTAATTGGGTTTGTTATATTTTTGAGATAAGCCAGAGCAGCATGGTAGGACCCCGGACATCTTCAATATAGGTCATAACTGATCTGCATGAATTTTGGAGTTTTTGCTACTCCTAAAATCAAATAAATTTGCTAAAAATCCAATTATTACATATAAATTTTATAGTAATTTGCTAAAAATTAAATTAT